GCAGGAAGGCTGACGTTTCGGGCCTAGACCCTTCTTCAGAAATGCCCGAAACGTCAGCCTTCCTGGTCCTCTGATGCTGCTTGGCCTGCTGTGTTCATCCAGCTCTACACCTTGTTAAGTCATATTTACTGACTGTTTGACAGAAATCACAGGTTAATAAAATAACTTCAGCTTAGTGGTAGCAGAGATGACCCTGATCTCCCTATATCCAATAAAGTTAAAAGATCAAATGCTGGGGTCAATAAATAATTCAGACCATGGTTCTATACATTGATATATAAAAGCTTCAGTTAAAATTCAATATTGCTCAAATATTTTCAGGACATTTTTAAAGACTTACCTTTCCAAACGACCCTTGTCCCAAAACTTTAAGAAACTCAAACTGTGAGGGGTCGGCCTTTTCACATCCTTCTTTCACAAGGCATGTTATTGGTATCTCCTGTTCATTTTCTTGATCTTGCTGAAGAGGTGGAAGAAAAGTATTCATTTTTACATGATGCCAAGTGCTCATCCAAAATTAATACAGCAATTTAACGGCCAAATTCAACTAAGTCGCTTCTATAAAACCTTAGATGTTGCATCAGTATAAAAAATTAAGTTGAACCCTTAATAACAAAGTTCGCAAAGGAATTTCATCCTTTAGTCAAGAATTTAGAATATTCATTCTCAATGATATGCATTTTCTGCACCCTGTGGGGCCACAGCTTGCCTGGATCCATTGAGAAGACTTGATGATGCAGATAGGTGATGTCACACACTGTTTCTTCTCCAGACTGAATAAACCCCCAGGATAATAGTTTGCTTTGTCTTGCAGCCAAACAGAAGCAAAAATCAATTCCTTCCCAAGTCCATTATATACATGAAATCTGTTCACAGAATCAAGAATGCAGAACATGTGTCAGACCTAGGGGTGTAGGTACACAGTTCCTTGAAAGTGGAGTTAAAGGTAGACAGGTAGTGAAGGTGGCGATTGGCACGCTTGCCTTCATTGGTCACTGAGTATAGGAATCGAGATGTCATTGGTAAGGCCACATTTAAAGTACTGCATATAATTCTGGTCGCCCTGCTACAGGAAGGACATTGTTAAACTTAAGACTGTGCAGAAAAGATTTACAAGGATGTTGCCAAGACTGGACAGTTTGAGTTATAGAGTATGCCTGAATAGGTTGGGGCTTTTTTCCCTGGAGCAGAGGCTCAGGGGTGACGTTATAGGGGTTTATAAAATTATGAGGGCATGGATAGGGTGAATAGTCAAGGTCTTTTCGGAAGGTGGTTGGGGGTTGTGGTCCAAAACTAGAGGGTATAGGTTTAATGTGAGAAGAGAAAGATTTAAGAGGGACCTGAGAGTCAACTTTTTTTATGCAGAGGGTGGTGCATGTTTGGAATGAGCTGCTAGAGAGAGTGGTGGAGTTTACAATTACAATATTTTTAAACATTTGGATGGGTACATAATAGGGAGGGTTTAGAGGGATATGGGCCAAATGCTGGCAAATTGGTCTAGGTCAGATTGGAGTGTCCGGTCGGCATGGATGATATGGACCAAAAGGATCCGTTTCCTTGCTGTATAACTGATTACCCACCTTCTTTCATTCCAGATTCTGCAGTGACAAATAAAGTAGCAGATTGAAAAAGGGGGTGAGCCAGCAGTTAGGAGCCATGTACCAGATGTCAGCACCTACCAGTCGAGGGATTGTCATTTTTAAGGCGGGGGGTAAGTCTATGCTAGAATATTTACTCAGTATGACAATTGCCTCACAAGGCAGTGTTGCAGAGAAAGCATCAGTGGAATAGGTGGACTATCCCTTGATCTAATTTTAGGTTTGAACTGGACTGAACTGATGTGTGGCTTTGTAGGAAGCAACTTTTGTCATCTTATTGTTTAGTCATTTGTTTTATTGGATCTTTGTGGCATGGGTAACTAACACATTACTCAGCAAGCATCTATGGCGGGTAATAAATATTGCAGTTCTGAAGCAACCACCAATTAAAAATAATAGAGCAACTGCTCTATGAAAATCATCCAGAAAGCGACCTTAAGCAAGACCAGCTAACTTTCCATGTTAATTGCCATGACCAATTACGAGGTAGTCAACTTCCAACTGTGAAGTAGGTAATTGAAAATTCTGAACTGAAGGCAAGTTAACAAAGAGCTAAGTTATCAATGTGGAATTACCAAGAGCCTACACAGACACTACTTCCAAGAAATTATGCTAGTGCCTGAATTGTTAATAATTCAACACTACCAGACCTCAACAGTTGAAGTAGGGAAGTGACAGCCAAGAAGGTTTGATACTAGCTATTTGCCTCAGACTTAGATTTAAAATCTAGTCCAGGGAAGGTATGAAAGTCCAATCTGCCTGCTGGTTGAAGGGCTCTGCATTGAATCAATTTCCTGTACTCAACAGCCTTCCTTATTGAAATGCACTGAAGTACAAAACTATTTCCATGTTGATACCGGTACAGGTTGATTGGCATGGAAATGGAGAAGTCCCATGCTAAAGTAGCTCTTTTTGTGTTAATAATGTGGCATGTCATTGGAACTGTATCACAGAAACTTTAGCCTGTTTCTGGTTGTGCGATATTTGACAAAAGAATGCGTGATATCTCAGCATCTCTCATTCAGGGTGAGAAATAGGCTCTCTTTAAAATAAATAGCATAAATTAATGCAACACGATGGAAAATGGCAATGGCAATCTGTAATGATCATTTAATTGCAACAATTCTTGAATCTGAATTCACCAACAGATGCCAGAAACTGCATGATCAAACTAGAAAGTCCATTGCATTGTCACACCAAAAGGTTTGCTAAATAGGTTAGATTAATAGGTCATGCTTTAGGTTAATCTTGCATCCAATCTACTCTGTCTCCACTTCACCTTTCGCCCTCGGAAGTAAAACATTTTTTCCCGGTGTCAAAATTTCCATACGATGGATCGTAACGAAATCTATTTGCAAACTTGTAGATCTTTAAACAGACGGGTTCATAATTGTCTGGTATCATATTGCTCAATTTACATCCAACGGCTCTTGAAACTTCTATAAATTTCAAAGATTTCTTTGAAAGTGTGGAAATCGTGGTTCTTTCTGACCCAAATTCTGTTTTTCATCATTTCTCACTTCAAGTTTCTGTCTATCTCTTTGATGAAGACCAGCTCATACAGACGGCACACTAGGCTGCGACAAATAAAATTGGTTAATACTCACCTGCAGGTCTAAGTAAAGCATTAGCCAATTCAACCAGTGGGCATTACAACAGATTCCAAGTGTTCTCTGTGCCAAAACATTACTTCCTTACAATTTCATGCAAAATCATGTCCAAATGCCTTGTCTCAAACAACGAGTAAAAAGTCGTATGGGTGTTAATCACATTCCTGCATTCTACAAACATATAATAAAACTTTAATCATAAACACTCAGCCATTTTATGCAACCAACTCAGGGTCCAGACGATTTATTAACTACAGAAGCTTTGCTGATTTAGTTTAGTAATACTCCAAACTTTTTTATTATGTACTTAGCACAGCAAAAAGCTTTGTCCTACAAGCAGAGGCAGTTAAGCAGGCTTGGCTTTAGCCAAAAACCTTCCACTTGCTTCAGACAACATTAATAATCCTAATAAGCCTTAACAACATATTACTGCATACAAGCAGTACATTTAGATATGTGCAAGTAGCATTCTAAAGTAGAAAATATTTATATGGTTTACTGATGAAATGATTCCCCGATGTGACTGCGTAAACATATCACAACAAATAAGCCAAATAGACCAGAAACTTTACAGATTGTCTTCCAGAGTGTTTAGTTCGCTGATCTCAGGCAGGGCGCTGTGCTTTGATAGTGCCAAAAACAAAAGCCCTCAGTTGATACATAGTTTGCTGTGATCTAAACTTAGAAGCTACTACCCAAACACCTAACTTGACCTGAACCAAGGATTTCTTGAACTACAGATCATCCGGTCTGACAAAGGCAAAATACCATGTTGGACATTGGGACAGTCATATTGGACTCGATGTTAACTCAGTCTCTCTCTACAGATGCTGCCAGGCCTGAATTTTCCCCCAGCACTTCCTGTTTTTATTTCAGATCCTCTCGTCTTTTTGTCTTTTGCAGTTATTAGGTATTAGCCTTAGAAAACTCCTGAGAAATCAATTAATTTATCAAAAGAGAGAGCTGAACAGCACGGAAACAGACCCCTCGGTCCAACTTGTCCAGGCTGACCAGATATCCTAAAAATCCAGTGTCATTTGCTAGCATTTGACCCATACCCCTCTAAATCCTTCCTAATCATGTCCCCATCCAGATGCTTTTTAAATGACGTAATTGTAGCAGCCTCTACCACTTCCTCTGGCAGCTCATTCCATACACGCACCACCCTTTGCGTGAAAAAGTTGCCCCTTTAGGTCCCTTTTAAATCTTTCCCCTCATCTTTAACCTACCCTACCCTGAGGAAAAGACCATGACTATTCACCTAATCCATGCAGTTCACAAACTTCTGTAAGGTCACCCCTCAGACTCCAATGCTCCAGGGAAAACAACCAGAGCCCAGTTAACCTCCCCCATAGCATCAAACCCTCCAACCCTGGCAACATCCTTGTAAATCTTTTCTGAAGCCTTTCAAGTTTCACAACGTCTTTCCTATAGCAGGGAGGCCAGAATGGAATGCAGTAGTCGAATAGCGGCCGAACCAATGTCCTGCACAGCTGCAACGTGACCTCCCAACTCCTTTGATCAATGCACTGACCAATAACGGCAAACATACCAAACAAGTTCTTCACTATCCTATCTCTCTGCGACTCCACACCTTCAAGGAACCATGAACTTACATTCCAAGGTCTCTGTTCAGCAACACTCTTTACCATTAAGAGAACAACTCCTGCCCTGATTTGTCTATCCAAAATGCAGCACCTCATTTATCTAAATTAAACTCCATCTGCCACTCCTTGGACCACTGGCCCATCTGATCAAGATTATACCGAGGTAACCTTCTTCGCTGTACACTACACCTCCAATTTTGGTGTCACCTGCAAACTTACCATACCTCGTGTTCACATCTGAATCTTTTATATAAATGACGAAACGCAGTGCACCCAGCACCAATCTTTGTGGCACACCGCTGGTCATAGGCCTCCAGTCTCCCCTCCTCCACCACCCTGTCTTCTACCTTTCAGCCTGTTCTTTAACCAAATGGCTATTTCTCCCTGTATTCCATGTGATCTAACCTTGCTAACCAGGCTACCATGAGGAACTTTGTCAAATGCCTTACTGCTGAAGTCCGTATAGATCACGTCCACCGCTCTGCCCTCATCAATCCTCTTTGTTACTTCTTCAAAAAACTCAATAGTTAATGAGACACAATTTCGCACCCACAAAGCCATGTTCACAATCCCGAATTCCCGCCATTGGATGCTTTCCAAAGGAGGCCAAGTTGCTCAATGAGGTAACTAAAAAGGCACCCAATATAATTAGAAACTTGCAGAAAATTTGACATGACATCACTACACCAAAGCATAGAATGATTTAAGCGAAACTTGTCAGCAAAAGGTCAAATACTGGAGTAATTTAAGAATTATGCATTGCAGATTCACCTCAAACTTTCATAGTTTCCAAGTGATTCAATTTCTGGTATACACTGTGCAATGCTTCTGCTATAGGAATAAGTGAAGTCACAGAATCTCACAAGTGTCACAGAAGGAGGAAGCTATTCGGCTCATCATGCCCATACTGGTTCTATTTCCTAGAGTCAATCGCCTGCCTCTTTCCCATATCCTTGCATCAACTGAATCTGATAATTAAAATCAAAGCATAAGCCCCCAGTCTGTTACAGCAGGAGTAGAGGTCCTCTTCTATTAATTAAAGCCAAAGCACCAGAGAAGTTTGCCTCTCCTCATCTGTTAGAGAGGAGTGCTGAAGTGAAAGAAAATCCTGAATATTCACTTCATAAGCAACAAGTAACAATTTAATTATTTAACCTAAGTGAACAAATTAACAGAACTACTAACAAATTGAACAATTCCCCCTTAACTACTAACTATTCCTGAACAGAACAAAATTCTCATGATATGCTGTTTCAAAAATACCAGTCCCACTTATAAAAACCCAAGTAATAATAAAAATAAATTAAAACTTAGAGTCTCTAAAGTACAGCCTGGTTAAGTCTTCCAGATTGTACTTTGCCTTCTCCACTGATCCTTCTGTCAGGAATCTTAGCTGGGAGTGTCTTGGTACATTTATGAATAGATGGTGCTTTCGCAGAGAGCTACAGATTTCTGAGACACCCAGATATTTATTCTTCAGATGACAGTTTTCTCTCACATCAATTTTCAGAAACCCTCTTCTTTACATACCCCCAATGACTTGTCAATTTTCCTATAATAGGTTTTGACAACCTCGGACCAATCCATCAGATTTAAATTCAGTTGGTTTTCAATCTTTAAGTGCTTGGTTTAAATTAATTGGCTGATTTTCAAGCCAGTTGCTAAAACATCAAAACAAGCCTAAGGTTTCCAATCTCACAGCCAATTGATACGTTTTAATTTCAGAACTGTTTGTACCTCTTCAGCTGCTTACAGACGCATTTTAGTTTAAACCTCCAAACGTAGAAAAATACTTCACCTCTCAAAAGGGACTATGCACTCTTCCCCCCCCCACCAAAGAAACTCTAACTTCCTGCCTTCCAATTCACAAGTACTCTACACTACTTGGCAACACCATTTTGATCCAAATAATCATCCAATGCCCTCTTGAATGCCTCAGTCAAACCTTCCCCCATCATGTTTCTAAGCAGTGCATTCCATACCCTAACAACTCACTATGTGGGAAAGGCTCTTTTTTTTAAAATCATGTAACTTTACATCTATGCCCTTTTCTTTTTATTTTACAAACAGAAATAACTTTAGCCAATCTACTCTGTCCAGCTTGCTTATCATCTTGGAAACTTCAAATCAGATCTTCTCTCACAGAGAGGAAGGCCGAGAACAGCCTCAGCTTCTTCAATCCATCCTCATACCTGGAACCATTCTCAAATTGCTTCCACACTCTGTCCAATACATTCCCATCTTTTTTATAATGTAATGCCCACAACTGTACAGAATATTCCAGCCTGAGGTCTACCAAGTATCTTTTACAAGTTCAATATCACGTCCTTGCTCTTGTACCCTATTGCCTTGTTCTCCAGCTTTATTAACACTATATTCTTGATTTTCTGCTCTCTCCACCAGTCCAGTCACTTCAATGATCTGGATACATATACACCCAGGTCTCTTCGCTCCTACACCGCCTAGTTTATATTGCCTTTCTGCCTCTCTGCAGAGCCATATCTGCCACCTATCCGCCCACTCCTCCAACTTGTCAATGCTTTTTTGGAGTTCCACACTGTCTTCTTCACAGTTCCCAACTCAGAGTCATCTGCAAGTAATATTTAAATTAGGAGCTGTTAGCTGCAAAACAAAAATGAAACATGCATGAGGGAGAGGGAGAAGGAGAAGGAGAAGGAGAAGGAGAAGGAGAAGGAGAAGGAGAAGAAGGAGAAGGAGGAGAAGGAGTATATCAGTCAGCATTACAAGGACTATAATAATATTCAAAATTGATTGAAGCAAGCATGGGGAAAGCACAAGTGAAAAGTGGTAACAGCCACAGATAACGGATAACAAAAAGAGATCAACATGACAATGGGCTCGCATTCACTATCAAAGCAATAGCAAACCTAAAAAGGTACACATCGTACTTCAGCACAAATAGAAAGTACCATGAAGTGATCAGATACATGGCTAAATGCAAACGCTCAAAATCTGGATTCCCTTCTGTTGCTTTCACTTCATTCTCTACCTCACCATTGGCAAGCATGAAATATTACGAATGTGTTAAACTTGTGCAACATTTTCTCTTAAAAAGATGTTTGTTTGTGTTACGATACCTCTTTGGCCATCTCACCCAGAGGTGGGACCTAGACTCAAATCTTTAGGAACAGAGGTAGGGATATTAGTGTCTGCAACACACACCTGTGTAATTATGCAGTTCATTAGACTTATAGTCTAAAATAGACGACCTTACACTTTCTTTTATAAAAATCTATTGAAGCATATTTGTCCTTTTCACTTAGAACACCTTTGTAATTTTGTGGTCCATTTACACTGCAGTGTCTCAAAGAAAATCTTGCTGATCTATGGTTCTCCAGAATTAAGCAGCATTAAATAGTCCTTAGTAAGGTTCTTGAAGATTTGTAGCACAGGTTGTGAATGAGTTTGGTGGCTTGCTCGCTGAGCTAGCTGGTTATCATGCAGACATTTTGTCACCGTGCTAAGTAACATCAGCGCATCCTCCGGTGAAGGGATGTTGTTCTACTCCGACAACTCAGACAATGAAGGCCATCAGTTTAACTGGGATAAGGTAACCATAGTACCCAAGCACGAGAATTCCTAGAGGCATAGTTCTCCACCCGTAATGCAATCAACAAACATATAGAATTGGACCGCATATACAAACCCATACAGATCAAAATCGGAAATGACACTACTCACCATAACGGACCAGACAGTATAAATGCCAAGCGGAGTAGAATAACATCGCTTCATCAGAGGCTCCACTGATGACGTCACCTTGCATGGTGACAAAACGTCTGAACAAGAACATGCCAGCTCGGCGAACAAGTCAACAACCTCAGTTGTTCTACTCCGCTTGGTATGTTTATGATCCGGTCTGTTAAGTTGGGATGTGTCATTCCCGGTTCTGTACTGCATGAGTTTGTACATGGGGTCTAACGCCACATGTTTGCTGATTGCATTATGGGTTGAAAACAGGGCCTCTAGAAATTGGCATGCATGTCTGTGGTTGGCTTGAGCCAAGATGGTCATGACTCGAGGCCTGGTTTTCAATCCGTAATGCAGTCAACAAACATGTGGAATTAGACCCATTGTACAAACCTATGCAGAACAGAACCGGAAATGACACAACCCAACTTAGCAGACTGGATCATTAATTACCAAGTGAAGTAAAACAACATTGCTACACCGGAGGCTGCACTGGTGATGTTATCTAGCATGGTGATGAAACGTCTGTAATAACCAGCCAGCACGGCAAGCAAGGCAACAACTTAGGTCTTAGTAAACAGAGGATAGTTGAGTTTCCAGGACAGATGATTCTTTCATAACATCACAAACCACTTCTAACCAACAATTATGTATCCCGTTATGCCATCTCATCTTCTACCACCTTCAGGTTCTGATGGTTTGGAAAGATCTTGGAATAAGATGGTACATATTTGAAGTTTCTTTTCATCTATGAAAAAACAGTGGTTATATTCATCAATGTTTCAAGAAAGGACGATATTTACATAAGGGACAAGTGTAATTTTACTCAGATCATGAGAATGTCTTGGGCATTGAAAGCATTTCTGTTCATTTGCTTATCAGTTGGTCTCTATTACTGCCCCCAGTGCAGGGGTTCATCTCAAATGAAAGGATGGGCACTAGTATCAGATTTTAAATTCAGGCCTGAAAGTGTACCATGCTACACATGCACCTTCAAAGCCAATTAGAAAATAAATGCAAGTATGCTTCTCCAAAGAATGATTCTCCAATATTAATTCAAAGAATACCAAAGATTAACCACATCAGAGTTCAGTCTAAGGAAGCATTGTGCATTTAAATGCACAATCTCATTTGGAGGCGTCTTTTGATTCATTCCCATGATTAAGCTATTAGTCATTCCTGATTTCACTTCAGCCTCAACGATTTATGAACCGGAACCAGAAAAACAACATCAGGATCTATTTACAACTTGAGAAGTTGAGAAGTTCTGAGATTTAAAAAAATGGGAATGTTACATTACCTTTGCAATTCAAAGTCCATTCCAATTCACTAAGTCCAAAACCAGGACAATTCTAGGACAAAAGAACAATTTGTCTGCTTGAACAAACGACTGGACTTACTAATCTCAGCCAAATGCATTTCTAATAAGACAAAGAGTCACTATGGATTTGTTCAAGTTCGTCTAAAAGTAGAACTGGTAGAGGACTCGGGATTTCTGGTGTTACAGAGACTACAAAAGGAGCATGATGGAAATTTGCTCTCCTGGCTTGGAGTCATTACCTCAGTTACAAACAAAAACACCAACTTAGTATTTTTAAATCAAGCAAGGAGAAAGACAACCTGCAGAAAACTAAACCAGGTTTCATTAGTGAGTCGGGCAGGCTGGCTAGTCAATGCACTGATGCACGAATTGAATTATCTAGCCCACCACATAGCTGTAACTGAGAGCCATTCTTCCAACTTACCCTCCAAACTCTACTCTTCGCCCCTTTTTAAAAGAGAAGGGTAATTAATTGGCTATTCAACAGCTGCCAAATATGATATCAGGAATGCCTCACAACTATGCAATGGCTGTGATTTGTATGAACTGCTGCCATGACTCTACGCCATATTTTAAGTGGCGATACCAACATTTGGCACCAAAGCTTTTCAGTTAAAACAGTTTGTTTACTGCAAGCCAATCACAATAAGCAAGGAAACAAGGTATGGTCTTACATAACCTCCAGCTAAAACATTCCTGTTGTCAAAACAAACCTAAAAGTTTCATCTTGAGCTTTATGATAAGCATAATAAACATTCCTTTAAACATGCCTCGAGATACTGACTCCCATCCAGGGCTGAGCAACAGAATTTGCTGAGGTTGGGGCCAACCCAGATTCTACCTACTTCCCTCTTTTTGGCATAAATACACCTCATAACTCAGTCCTGGATCTCAAATAAGCCAAAAAGAAGAAGTCAGCCACCTATCCTGTCATCCCCACAACATGCCTAGAAGTTTTGAATCACAAAAGGAAACTACTTGGATGTTTAGTATTTGAAATTTTACTGACATGAAAGTTATGTCAAGTTTCCAGTTCTTCTGCAATGAGAACGTTAGACCAAACGTCTTAATTAAAGGCCACCAAAAATGTGAAAATATTTCTAGAATTCAAATAAAACATTAACAAAGCACACAGTCCCTTGCAAATAAACCAGAAATACCAGCAAGTTCCCTTTTCACATCAGGAAGATCATATGATTCATCAGAAGAACCTTAGAATAGGCACCCCGTGATAATTCCCAGCTGAACTGCACTCATAAGGGAGGGACATCACATATGCAGACTATCTTTTAGCCAACGTTAGAATAGTAACACTTAATGATGGCTGTGAAGAACTGAAACGCCAAAATAAAAATTGGTTTCCTCTCTTTACAGCAACTGAAGGTCATCCGTCACTTATACTTGGGAATGATGGCACCCCTACATCGCTGCAACCAAGGTAACATGCAAATGTGACTTAGTGCAGTTGATATTAGTACTTGCAAAACCCAAAGATTCCAGAACTGTCAATGCTGACTGAGCTTATGTCACACACACACACAAAATGGATTTTCACCACGATGAAAGTAGTTGCCCCCTCCCCAGATTCACAGATTTTCTTTTTTAATGTAAGATTATAAAAATAGTTTTGTTTAACCAGATCTTGAAATTGCTCTGCAGAGTCAAGCTAAAGGACTACAGTGACGGCCAAGAATCTCTTGCATTCATTACGATCAACTGTTGATTGTGAAGTGTTAAAAACAATACATAATTTACCACATACATATTACATTGGTAACAAGTGATGGTACTCAATACAACTTTGATATCATGAATCAACGACAACCAATAATCTGATCAACAAACGAAATCCGGAATTCAGTGATCCTTAAAGCAGCTTCGTTATTTTCTGAATGGATTGAGTACAAGTCCTATTTACACAAAGGAACAAAAACAAAGTTGCTGGAAAAGCTCAGCAGGTCTGGCAGCATCTGTGAAGGAGAAAACGTTTCGTATCCGATGACTCTTCCTCAGAGCTGCTCACCAGACACAAAACATTAACTGTTTTTTCCCTTCACAGATGCTGCCAGACCTGCTGAGGTTTTCCAGTAACTTCTGTTTTCATTCCTGATTTACAGCACCTGCAGTTCTTTTGGTTTTTATTTCCTATTCCCACAAGTAGGTTAAAAACAATTTAATTTTCATTTCTACAGACAAGCAACCACCGAAAATAATGGAAGGAATTTAGTCACTTCTACAACTGCAATGGCCACATCAAAATGCCTACTTGTACTTTCAAATGACAAAATGAGGAAAAGTAAAATATTTGAGGTTGTTGACTTGCTCGCCGTGCTGGCTTGTTTTTGTTCCGACGGTGTCACCATGCTAGGTGACATCATCCGATGAAGCAATTTTATTCTACTCCGCTTGGAATTTATACTGCCCGGTTCGTTACGGTGAGTATTGTCATTTCCAGTTTTGATCAGCATGGGTTTGTATATGGGGTCCAATTCTATATGTTTGTTGATTGAAGCAGGGGTGGAGAACCATGCCTCTAGGTATTCCCGTGCTTGTCTATGTTTGGCTTGGGCTACAATGGTTACTTTGTCCCAGTTAAATAGATGGCCTTCATTTGTCTGAATGTACAGATATTAAGGAGAGTTCGTCGTGCCGTTTTTCTGCTAGCTAATGGAAGGCACCAGATGAAACCAGGAAGCACAAACACCCCTCCGCTTCTATGGACTGCTTGAAGTACTAAACCAGACGTCTCTCTCAGACCCATTGTGTGCCTGGTAGGGAAACAGTCATTCAAACTGGCCAAGGACCTACAACAGAGCTTGAAACACCTAGTGGACAGATCACCCCATTCTATCCACTCAGCCCAAGATTTCCTCGATACCCTGAAGAACATAAAAATCAGCGACGAGATTATGGCATCCTTTGAAGTCACAGCTTCATTCATATCAATTGATATCTCACTAGCAAAGAAACAGTGGCCACATTACTAGAGGAAATAGCAACGCAGACCAGCAGCTCCATCAGCAAGGACAATATACTTAAATTACTAGGCCTCTCCCTCACCACACACTGTCTTTCATGGTCAAAAGTACAAACAGATCAACAGTACACCAATGGGGTCACCCACCACAGGACTCATCGCAGAAGCAGTCATGCAAAGACTAGAACACACCACCCTCCCCCACCTTCACCTAAACTGTGGATCCGGTACATAGATATACAAGATCCTCACCTTAAATGGATATTTATGTTTTTTGTAGCCTGCCAGAGGCCTTGCGTTGCTCACTAAAACAACTCAAATTACTGATTCTGCTCAAGACTATAAACCAGCTACACAATCTACTCAGCTTTGAATAAAAAAATTTGGATAAACATCACATCTTTGAGTACCACAGATATAATTTATGTACGCAGGTAAATTTAAGCAATTAGCCCTTTTTAGGTATTTCACATTTTGCTCCAAATTATTTCAATATGACTTCAGAGGAAAAATTTATTCAAGTTTGCAAAATCTGAAGTCTGAAGTCTGAACTATCTGGAAATATTTTTCAAAAGAACACAGTATCACCACCTGCATGTGAAAAAGTTCGTCCACAAATTGACTAAATTTAATGTTCAGCACAAACATAATACCTTATGTATTGAAGAGTTAAAAATAACGTTCAACTTTGTAAGAATCACAAATTACACAACGTTTGATTCATTGAATTTGAGGTATGTGGAGGCCAGCACATTTTCAAAGTTCATGGCTACATTACAAAAAAATGTCTTGTACAAATACAGCTCTAAGTGATAAGTTAACGATGCATAAAATCTGTTCAGACCAAGGCCAGTGCTTTTTACATCAATGGACAAGATTATGAAGCTGCTAGTACTTGCAACAAATCAATCAATTTAAAAATCACTTCAAAAGTACTTCAAAATTGATCTGAACTTTTTTTACAACTACAGAATAAGACAAACGTGTAGTATATAGAAAAGAACTGTAATTTTAAATATTACCTTGTTCCTCAATTCAATTTGTTTTTTTATATTTCAGTAGTACAGCAGATAAAGCATCCAATCTTGATATTTGCTAATCAATCTTCAAAGATGTCATTATAGGAACCTAGCAACAGAGGTAGGCCATTCAGCCCCTCAAGCCTATTCCAATGAGATCATAGCTGATCTGTGGCCTAACTCCATATACATACTTTTAGCCCGTATCCCTTAACTTTGCTTAACAAAGATCCATCTATCTCAGATTTAAAATTAACAATTGATCCATCCTGCTGCTTGTGGAAGAAGTTCCAAACGTTTACCACCCTTTGGGTGTCCTCAGTGGTATCGTTCTAATTCTCAGACTGTGCCCTCTGGTTCCACAGTCCTTAGTGGAAAGAGTCATACAGCAGAGAAAGACACTCTTTGGTCAAACTCATCCACTCTGACCAGATTTCCCAAACTAAATTAGTCCCATTTGGCCCATATCCTTCTAAACATTTCCTATTCACGCACCTATCCAAAAGTCTTTTAAAAAGTTGTAACTGTACCTGAATCTAGACTTCCTCTGGAAGTTCATTCCATATATAAACCACCCTCTGAAAAAGTTGTCCCTTAGGTTCCTATTAAATTTTTCTCCTCCCCACCATAAAATCATGCCCTCTAGTTCTGAACTCCTCCAACCTAGGGAAAAGACTTTGCCATTCACCTCATAGGTGCCCCTTATCATTTTATAAACCTCCATAAAAAAGGTCATCCCCAACCTCCTATGCTCCAGTAAAAAAAAAATGTCCAGGCCTATCCAGTTTATTTTTTAATATCCCTTCTCTACTCCTGCTAATATTTAAGAGGACTCTGATCGTACCTCTCCCCTTCTAATTTCAAGGGAAAACAGTCCAAATTTCTCCTTATAACCACTGAGGTCCACGTATCATTCTTGCAAACCTACGTGGTACTCCCTCTGATGCCAATATACCCTTCCTAAAAAATGTGGTGCCCAGATCCACTCTCAGTTCTCAAGGTGGGGTCTAACCAGGGTTTTGCATGACTGAAACAAACTTTTGCATCCTTGTACGCCAGACTTCTAGATCTAAAGACATTCATTGCACACCTCTAGAAAAGGTGGGTCTTGAACACAGGCCTCCTGGTTCAGATGTAGGGACACACTGCACCACAAAAAACAAAAACACCCAAACCTTTATTAGTGAAAAGGTTCTGTACCAGCAACATCTAAGCAAGTGCCAGGGTAGTAACCTCTGTAGTTGGCTTTGACACAATGTGATTTATTATCAAAGATTACTAATCAGCAAGTGTACTGTAATACGATTGGTTCAGTTTCAATAGTTCCAACACCAGGACTGATGTACCATTATTTGCAGGATCTTAAACCAAACCCCTTTCTTGAAAAATATTTGAACTTTTTGAACAAATGAGCATTGCAAAACAAAACACTAAGCAACATTTTACTAAATCTTCAGTTAAATTGTAATGTCTGTTTATCTGTTTTCAAATCAACATTTCTGAGCAAGGGTAGGGTCTCAACTGATCACAATATTTTTTGAGAAAGGTGTGGGCCTTATTTATTTTCAACATGGTACATGGAGTTTCTAGATGCAATTTACAAGCTCAGTGGAGCTCTAAAAGCATGGAGTCATGGAAAACAACTTCAGTATTGAAGATGCAACGTCTGTAATGGCCACCTTAACAACTGCTTTGAAATGATTATAGAGTTGGAAACTAGAACATGGCTACACCACAGAGACCAGAATTACCAGCAATCTCATTCAAAAATTATGTGGAAACCAAAAAGAACTGAATCCAAAAGCTGGTGACACATGAACCAACTATCTTGATTTAAAACAATCTATTCTATCAATTAAAGCAGATTTTAAGTTAAATGTTAAAAGTTAGTCTAATTTTTAATTGATATTCCACAAATTATTTAAGATTGGCTCCTGCCATATTCTCATCAGGAGAGCTTAGCTCTTTAAGAATGCGCTTTAAATTTTGAAATAGGTCTACTCGATCAGAGTTTAACAAAATGAAATACTTAATTGATACTTGTAAAATTTGCTGCAAATTACTGCAAGGTACAGTAGAATGTGATAAATATACAACATAGAAGAGACTTATCACAGCTAATAAGCACTACTTGAGATTTACGAAGTGTATTTTTCTCCAAAAGGTCATTTCTTGCTTCAGTCTTTCTTTATCCCCTTCCCCAAAAAGCACCTGCCTGCTTTTAGAAACTGATTCTATGTAATCATAGCAGACAGTACAGAATGGTTTTCTAGCAAATCTAAAGTACTGTTTGGGAAATGGAAGCACACATCTACACATACCTTTGCCACACAATACAACGGTTTTATGCTACAGTCAGGACTGGCCTTGCTGGTTACTGTGTACTGAGTTACAAAATTATTTTTCAGATTAGGCAGTATTGATATGTTGAGACAAACAGCAATTTCAGCAGACAAGTAATGCCATGAGAAATTGCCTTCCTCAGACTTAAAATATAAAACCCTGATCCATCATCCCAACCACAAAAATGTAATACTATAATTGCATCGGTTGCAGTACAACACTCACTGGACATTCCAGTAATGGAAGCTATTGTGACAACCAATATTTAAACGGTCCAGATTTTAGCAGCATTCGACCGAGCATGGCATCAAAGAGCCCCAGCAAGACTGGAGTCATTGATTATCAGGAGACAAACTCTCTGCTGGTTGGAGTCACATTCAGCACATTGGAAGATGGTTGTGGTTGTTGGAGCTCAGTCATCTCAGCCCCAGGATGTCTCTGCAGGAGTTCTGCAGCATAGTATCCTAGGTGCAACCATCTTCAGCTGCTTCAATGACCTTCCCTCCGAACCACCGACCCCCCCCACCATCATAAAAGGTCAGAAGTGGGAACATTTGCCAACGACTGCACAATGTTCACACCATTCATGACTCCTCAAAATACTGAGGAAATCCACGTTCAAATGCAACAAGATCTGGACAATATCCAGGCCTGGGGTGACATGGGGTAAATAACATTTGCGCCACACAAATGCCAGACTATGACCATCACCATTGGCCCCTGACATTCAACAATGTCACCATCATGGAATCCCCCACTATCAACATCCTTGGGGTTACCATTGACCAGAAACTGAACTGGACTTTCCACATAAATACAGTGGCAGCAAGTGCAGGTCAGAGGAGCTAGGAATACTGCAGCAGGTAACTCATCTCCTGAATCGCCAATGCCTGAGATGAGCGAGTATTGGTCGTGTCTTTTTGCAGCCAGTTGGTGTTTATGTACTCTTGTTGTTAGTTT